TTCATATATTAATATATTAATTGCGTGGAAATTATTTTGTGTGTAACTTTTTAAAAGCTTAAATGCTACTTAAGAGAAAAATATATAATTGCCTGGTTTCCAAATGGACCCTGCTAAACAACTTAATCTGCTAATAATAACAACGTTGGCAAAAGTAAAAAAATGAAGGGAAAACTCACACAATATGAGTTTAAGAATGACATTCTCCCATTACTATTTAATTACCTGATGTAAATCTAATATTCCTAATGAGCCTAAGAACATAAAGTATTTATAAGACGCTATTGTATTATTCAATATTTTGCAGGATGTTAATGCTACATCCAATATCTCAATTGAAAAATGATCTTGCTTCATTTTATATTACTGGCAAGAAGGTGTAAACATAACTCCAGTTGTAATCTAAGAATAAAAGACACAAGTCACATAGGTTGGAAGCAATTTCATACTTTTATAACAGAGTACTAGGACAGAATATGGCATTGTGACAATATTTTATCCACTACTTTAAAGTTAGAAATTTTAGAAAGTTAATCTTCATCCCATCTTGATGATGATCCCAAAACATGTCTGTTCTTCCAAGCCTTGAGGCAGGCTGTTGGTAGAGTCCTATTGGTGATGTTTCTTGTTAGATGGAGCATTCTTATACAGCACCTGAGATTTTCTTGTTGTGTTTATTATCATTGTTGTTTTATATTCTTATTTGATATAAAATACCTAGAGTCATCTTGGAGTCAGATAGATTTAAAATCTCTGAAATAAACATATATCAAAACAATATGTTTCTTCAGTCAATGCTATGTATAAAAACAGCATTTGAAGATGCAAGCTATCGACCTTATTGGCATAATTGTTTCCAAACTGGGCTATGGAATAGATGACTATTATTTCTATAGCATAAGGGACTTGAATTACTCTTGTGATTTATCCAGTGGAGATCAGGGCTGAATAAACATTTCAAAGTCTACATCTATTCAGTGGATCATCAACGACTTGGACGACGGGATAGATGGGGAACTCATCAAATTTGCAGGCAACACCAAGCTGGCAGGAATAGCCAACACTCCAGAAGACAGGTTTAAGATACAGAAGGATCTGGACAGACTTGAACACTGGGCGCTATCTAACAAAATGAAATTCAATGGTGAAAAAAACAAGGTTCTACATTTAGGCAAGAAAAACCAAATGCACAGGTATAGTATAGGGGGTACCTTGCTCAATAGTAGTAACTGTGAGAGGGATCTTGGAATCCTAATGGACAATCACTTAAATATGAGCCAGCAGTGTGCTGCAGCTGCCAAAAAAGCAACAAAGTGCTAGGCTGCATTAACAGAGGGATAGAATTAAGATCATGTGAAGTGTTAATACCACTTTACAATGCCTTGGTAAGGTCACACTTGGAATACTGCATCCAGTTTTGGTCACCGCAATGTAAAAAAGATGTTGAGACTCTAGAAAGAGTACAGAGAAAATCCTTGCTAGAGTAGTAAGGCAAGAAGAGCAGATTAAAGGATTTAAGATTAAGAAAGAAACATATAAACTTCAGGCTTATGCAGATGACCTAGCATTTATATTAGAAGACCAGAACATTCAGGGCAGAAACTATTCGAAATTCTGGAAAAGTACGGGGATCATGCAGGCTTAAAAATAAATAAAAATAAAACAAAGATCATTACAAAAAATATGACTAACATACAAAAAGGAAACCTCGAGGCAAAATTAGGCATACAAGTAGTTTCCAAATTAAAATACCTAAGGGTAGTTATTTCAGCACGCTGCTCATCAATCAAAGAAGACAACTATGGTAAATTGGTAAAGAATATTAAAGTAGATCTAGAACGCTGGAAAAACTTACACCTTTCATTACTCGGGAGAATTGCAGCAGTAAAAATGAACATCTTACCTAAAATGATATTTTGTTTCAGAACATCCCAATTCAACTAGACAAGAAATTTTTCAAGGAGTTAAATAAAATAATCTTAGAATTTGTGTGGTCTGGTAAGAAGGCTAGAATAAAATTAAAGGCTCTACAGGATGCCAAAGAAAGGGGTGGTTTAGGTTTCCCTGATTGGGAATTATATTACCTAGCTGCGGCCCTGACATGGATTAGCGATTGGATAACCTTAGAAAATCAAAGATGTTTACAGTTAGAGGGTTATGATCTCCAGCAGGGATGGCATGCTCACATGTGGATGGGGCAAAGGAGAAATCACCAATATTTCTTAAGACACAAGGTTCGGCAAGGATTAATAAAAAGCTGGAACATAGTTAAACGTCAATATTACACAAAGATCCCGGCCTGGTTATCGCCATTGGAGACAGTTACATATCCCAATCTGTTTAGGAAAGACAAGGTTATTACATATAAAGACATTTTGACAGAAGAGGGTTATTTAAAATCAAAACAAGAGCTAAGACCACAAGGAATAGACATAGAGTGGTGGTCTTACCTCCAGATACAGGCAAGATACATGAAAGATAAGCAAGAATGGGGTATTAATAGACAAAGTACGGGGCTAGACAAAATATTGTTAGGCCCGGAGAAAAAACAAATAAAGAATATTTACAAACACTTATTGGAGTATAAACTATTCGAGGAGCAGGTCAAAGAAACAATGGTGACATGGGCAACAGACCTAGGATATAATATAAATATATATAATATAAATCAATGGCAGCAGGTATGGGTGCGAAACAATAAAATCATATTGGCGACATCATATAAAGAGAATTTGTATAAGATGGTTTACAGATGGCATCTCCCTCCAGCCAGATTAGCAAAAATATATAACGGATACTCATCTTTGTGCTGGAAGTGTAAAAAAGAAAAGGGCACTTTCTTTCATATACAGTATGGTGGTCATGTCGAGAAGCACAGGTGTATTGGCATATGGTCTGGGAATGGGCAATAGAAATGACTAAGCAAAACATTCAGTACAAACCTGAGACATTGCTGTTAGGAATACTAGAAAAAAATGTAAATAAAGATGACACATATTTATTCATTCACGTGGTTACAGCGGCAAGGATATTATTTGCTCAAAAATGGAAAGCTACGGATGTACCGAGTGGGGAAACACTAATTCAGAAAATCATGTATTGCGCAGAATTAGACAGGATAACTAAAAGATTAAAAAATCAGGATGAAACAGACTTTTATCAAATATGGAATAAATTTTATAGATGGTGGGGAAAAATGGAGGTCATTGTAATGAGATAAGTTAAGATTGAGATTAGTATGGTGCTATTGTAAAGAGATATATTATTTGTAATTAATGTAAATATGGACTGAGATGTCTGTCAAAGATGATTTACCATGTTCAATGTTTTTAATTCCTTTTTTTCTTTTTCTATTCAATAAAAATTTATATATATATAAAAAGAAAGAGTACAGAGAAGAGCAACAAAGATGATTAGGGGACTGGAGTATAAAGCATATAAGGAACGGCTGCTGGAATTGGGTATATCTAGTTTAATGAAGAGAAGGACGAGGGGGGACATAATAGCAGTGTTCCAATATCTCAGGGGCTGCCACAAAGAAGAGAGAGTCAATCTATTTTCCAAGGTGCCTGAAGGCAGGACAAGAAGCAACGGGTGGAAACTAAGCAAGGAGAGAAGCAACCTAGAACTAAGGAGAAACTTCCTGACAGTTAGAACAATTAACCAGTGGAACAACCTGCCTCCAGAAGCAGTGAATGCTTCAACACTGGAAGTTTTTAAGAAGAGACTGGATAGCCATTTGTCTGAGATGGGGGTTGGACTAGATGACCTCCAAGGTCCCTTCCAACTTTACTACTACTACTACTACTACTACTACTACTACTACTACTATTATTATTATTATTATTATTATTATTATTATTCTACATAATTTTGAACTTAGCATTTAAGAACTACACAACTTATAGAGAGATTAGGAAAATTGCATATGACTTTTTCTCTAGTTATCAAGGAATACTGTATTTAGATCTGAAGGAAAGTGACTTGTTATAGAAGATCCCTAATGCTGCACCTTTGTATGTGTCAAACCCATCTTTTGCTTACACACAAAAAAAAAACACACAAAGAAGAATTCCATCTAGTTCCTCAATGTCAGCCCAAAAAGAAAAAAAGATGAAATACATTTGGTCAAAATCAGCATTTATGTGCTCAACAAAAACTGACAAGGATATGTAATCTAAAATACATAAATCGTTCCGTGGCAGATAGTGGGGATATTTTACATGCCACACTGAACATTTCTGCAATGCTTTGTGCAATCAGCCTCTGTGGGATGGAGAATTCAGATCTTATCCTTTCTCCTCTTATCAGGAACAAAGTCATATTTATGTCATGGTCACAATTCTATAGATTTGAAAGCTATTAACAGATCCTCATATCAGATGTGTCCAGCAGTGCAGTAAGTAATATGCAAAATAAGGAAGTGCTTTGTCAGATGAAAAAAAAAACCCAAGAAGATTTGATAGTAGCTTCTTAGCTACTTCAGAACTTTTAAACACCCTTATCACTTCATTGCAATCATTTGACTTCTTTCTTCTTTTTTCTTCTAATCTTTCTGTTCCAAGAAAATCTAATTCATCTCAATGCTGGGTAGATTATGAAATAGTGTATCATATAGAGAGATTAACACTTTTGAGAACCACCTAGTCAGGCAAAAGCATAGCTTCTAAATACCCTTATCACTTCACTGAAACCATTTGAAGTTTTTTCTTCTAATCTTTCTGTTCCAAGAAACTCTAGTTTATCTCAACACTGGGTAAATTATGAAATACTTTAATAGAGAGAGAGAGAGAGACTGACACTTCTGAGAACCACTTATTCAGGCAAAAGCATTATGGCATCAATAGAAACAACTTTTACCCAAGAAATCTTGAACTCTGACATTATATAAAATATGAACTCTTTAAAGTGACCTTTCTAGGTTTACATTTTTTTGATAGAATGAAAACCTTTCAACCACTGAGTACAAATACAAATGATACAAAGCCTTTACATATTTATATTTATTTCTACATAACCTTTTTATACCAATCTTTACAACACATTCAATTGTTTCGATTGACAATTATATGACTTCATTTTCACCTCCATGTATAACATATTTGAGATCTGTGATAACAAAAATTTTAAGAAGGCATAGCTTTGACCGTATTTGCAACAAAAGCATATCCAACAGATTTTTTTTTGTAATTAATACTTTGATAGTAATTTAACTGTATCTGGTGCTACATAAGGATCCTCAGCACTACAACAGTCCAAAGAAGCATTGCTGGGTTTCAATTTATTTTGTATTTTGTCTACATTCTCGCAATCCAGGAACTCTCTTGAACAGAGTTTTTCAAATATGAATTAAATTCAGTTTTCTCCTGTAAATTTTCCTGATATTGCATTTCTTCTTTTGCAGAACTTTGAGAATCCCTTCTAGTGGTTAGAAATGTTTGATTCTTGAAGTCATGGTTCAAAGATGATACTGAGAGAAAAAATTCTAGAGCTTTGTATTCTCCACTGCAAAAAGTCCCTTGACCAGCAACCTTAATTTCTGCAGTAACATTTGCTTGTTTGAAGCAGTTTTCAGGATTCAGCAATGGCAACTCATTCTCATTGCAAGTATCCATTTTCAAAATATTGATGTCATCCTCAAAAGATGAGTTCCCCAATAAGACTTTCTGTTGAAGAAAGGAAAATTGCAGATTCTAAGAATTTAAGCCTCCTTTACTAGTGAAAATGAAAATAACCATCAGCAAAGAGGATGTACATAGGAAAAAAATAAGAAAAATAAATAATTGTACTGCTGTTACTGTCCACATGGATGTGGCAACCTCAGAAAGAAGAGTAACTACTCAGATGGTTGTATCCTATGTGCCATTGCTTCTTCATTCAATCAGGCAAGCAAACTATTGATAGATTTTTTGGGGCATCCCTCTGCCCTCTAATTGTTTACGTAATATGATAATTCTTTCATGTGTTCACCAGCTTCAGTACGCAATTTAGTTAATGTGGTCAGAACAGAAGATACTGCAAGCTCACTCTTGGGTCTAAAGACAAATTATATTTACAGAAGGACAGCAAAGTAGAGGAAGAAGAATGGGAGGTGGCAGCATCATTAAGGACAACCAATGCAAAGGTTAGGGGCTATTTCCTCAATGGATCCGATCTCATGGCTACATACTATATTTCAAGGGCTGACAAGGGACATTTTTTGGCTAATAGACTGTGATAGTTATGGTTAAAAATGAATTGGAGGCTCATCATTTACAGTGATGTACATTACACTTAGCTATTAGCTGTACAGTTTACATTACATTAGCTATTTTTTCTATGCAAAATTGCACATTTGTTTTCAATTATCTCCAATAGTATTGAATCCGAAATGTCAGAGGTGAAGAAGGTTTGACAAAGTCAAGTCCATGGCTGTTATTACTCATGGAGATTCATGTTGCATAAGGACTAGAGAAAGTTCTGGGCCATGACAATCAATTTCTCACAGCCTGCCCAGTCCTTACCTGAGATACAGCAGGACAACTTGCTATTACAGGATGTGGAATCTGAGGCCAGCAAATTCGTTTTATCCTGATAAAACAAAAGCAAACTGATTTAGTTCTCCAATACTTGCATTTGATGACATCTCAAGAATGGAACCAAGAGACTTGAACTTCAGTCCCCGCTTTATGGATTTTCACAGGGTTTAGAACATTTCTATTTGATGTCTACATGAAGATTCTGGGTAAGATCAGAGATGACATATTATCAGTATGATGATGATACTCAGTTGTATATCTCAGTTCATGTTGAGTTAAGCGATGCCACAACTTCCCTCTTTAGGCTAGAGGCTGTTAAAGTCTGGATGAGGAGCAATGAGCTGAAGCTGAACCCTGACAAAACAGAATAGTTTTGGAATTGTGTTCTTTGGTTTATAGAGAATTGTCATCTTTGATGCTGGATGAAGTTGCACTGCCCCAGATGTTCCTGGTGCTTAATCTGGGGTTTCTCCTGGACTTGCCACTTCTGTTCGAGGAGCAGGTGGCACTCATGGCTAGGAAGGCCTTTGTACAATTGTAGATTGTGCATCAATTATACCCTTTCCTGTACCAACAGCCCTGCTCATGCTCATCCACACCCTAGTCACCTCTTTCTGTTGGAGACAGGAAAAATGCAGATTCTAAGAATTTAAGCTTCCTTTATTGGTGAAAATGGAAACAACCATCAGCAAACAGAATGTATAGTAGATGGGGGGGGGACAAATACTTCTACTGCTGCTACTGCCCACATTAAAATGGGAGCAACAGGAAGAGTAAATACTCAGATGGTTGCTTGTGTCTACATGGCGCTCTAAATGAGGATGAGTAAACATGCTTTATATGGGGCTGCCCTTGAAAAGTATCTGGAAACTTCAGTTGGTTCAAAATGCGGTGGCCTCCATGGCTTTGTGCAAGTCTAGATTTGCACATTTCACCCCTCTTGCGGAAGCTGTATTGGTTGCTGATTTGCTTCCAGGTCTAATTAAAGGTGTTGGTTACCTTTAAAGTCCTATGGGCTTGGGACCAGGTTATTTGAAGGAGTGTCTCTTCCTAGTTACATCTACCCAGCACACTAAATTGAGGAGTCAGGATGGGTTCCCCCATTAAGGAGGTCCATCTAGTGGGATGAAGAAGGCACTTTTCCATAGTGGTTCCCTCCCTGTGGAACATTATCTCTCCAGAGATAAGACTGGCCCCCATCTTGTTAGCCTGGTCCTTTCTCTGCGGGCCTGGGGATCCCAGCCTGATATGGAGACCATAAAGTAGCTTATCTGAATGTTGTCATGGGGGAAGAGATGGGATTGTTTTGGTTTTGAATTTGGGATCTTATCTTTATAAGCCACTCTGAGTAGCTATGAGGGAGTTGGATATCCATATAAACCTTTTTATTAAATAAACAAAGGTCCCCTTCCTTTTATTTGATCTCCTAAACTGAAACATTTGGGAGGTTGAGACTATTCTGAGGGAACTTCGGGTACTTGTATTTCCTTCTTGATAATATATTAAATATTACATAACGTAACATAATTCAGGACCAGATGGACTACACCCCAAGGTTCTGAAGGAACTGCAGATGTGATCTCAGAACCACTGAACTATATCTTTCAAAGATCCTGGAGCACTGGGGAACTACCAGAGGACTGGAAGAGAGCTGATGTTCCCATCTTCAAAAAAGGGAAAAATCTTCATCAATGATTTGGATGAGGGGATAGATGGGGAACTTATCAAATTTGCAGATGACACTAAGCTGGCAGGAATAGCCAACATTCCAGGAGATAGGCCTAAGATACAGAAGGATCTTGACAAACTTGAACATTAGGCTTTATCTAACAAAATGAAATTCAATGGTGAAAAAAGTAAAATTCTACATTTAGGCAAGAAAAACCAAATGCACAGGTATAGTATAGGTGGTACCTTGCTGGAATTGGGTATGTCTAGTTTAATGAAAAGGGGTGACATAATAGCAGTATTCCAATATCTCAGGGGCTGCCACAAAGAAGAGGGAGTCAGGCTATTGTCCAAAGCACCTGAGGGCAGGACAAAAAGCAACGGATGGAAACTAGTCAAGGAGAAAAGCAACCTAGAACTGAGGAGAAATTTCCTGACAGTTAGAACAATTAATCAGTGGAACAACCTGCCTCCAGAAGCGGTGAATGCTCCAACACTGGAAGTTTTTAAGAAGAGACTGGACAGCCATTTGTCTGAAACGGTATAGGGTTTCCTGCCTGAGAAGGGTGTTGGATTAGATGACCTCCAAGGTCCCTTCCAACTTTATTATTATTATTATTATTATTATTGTTGTTGTTGTTGTTGTTGTTGTTGTTGTTGTTGTTACTCATAACATAACATAACATAACATAACATAACATAACATAACATAACATAACATAACATAACATAACATAACATAACATAACATAACAGCAATGTTATGTTATGTTTAGGTTTGGAGGAAATGTATGCAATGGTCCAACATTCTGAAGGTGTTCCAATAACTTCAAGGCACTGTGCCAATGAATATGGAAGGGGAGATTTCACCTGATCCCTGCTTAAAGCTAGCTCTAAAATTATCTTGTATATAACCTAAGGAACCCAATATTTTGGCAAGGGAAGTTGGATACGGGAATGCTATGCTTGGGGAATATAAAGTATTGAATCATTCAAAGCTCCTTCAGTGGAAAACTGCAGCCATCTGGAGAAAAATGAAAACTTTAGAGTGTGTTAAGGAGTTTCATGTAACTAATGAAAGGGGGAATGGCAAAGAGGTTGGATTGTGATTTGCAAAAAGTCTTGTCACATAGCCTCAACTAAACCCAGCAATTTAAGCAGTGTTTACTTCACAAAGTGAGATAGATGAAAAATTATCTCAGCACTTTCACAGATGGAACAAAAGTAAAAAAAAAATAATGCCAACAACCTTGAACTTCTGGAGACTGAGATTATATATTAGATTATATATTAGCCAAAACAAGTACTTGTATAGATGCCTGGACCATATTATTGTGTTTTTTTTGACATTTCATTTTCAATCATTTAAAAATATACTCACATTTTATATTTTAAAGCCCATAATAGTCCAAAACTTAAGAGGCATGTCATGAATATTCCAATGAAGATAGCTGCAAAGATAATGTCTGTTGTACCTAGAGGAGGGGGCAAGCAAATTAAAATGTCAAATTCCAAATAGTTTCAAGTGTCAAGAGTTTTAAGTGACATTTTAGACATAGGGATCAATGAAATCAGTGGGATTGATTCCATGAGACTGCATCCATGAAAGAGAGAAATACATATTTGTACAGATAAGTGAGCTAAGGATACAGTTTAGCTCTGGCTTCTCCTTACTTTGAATTGTTTCATCTGATTATCGTGACTAAAATAATATAACTATTCTACACAATCTTTAGAGGTCATTAAACTCTAAAAGTTTAACGTTTAATGTTTTTAGCTTTTCCAATGGTAGAAGAAAATTGGCATTATCTCATTTTCAAACATCTAAAGTCATTGGATTCTTTCTAGTTAAAAACAACACAAACATGTCTTAAGTAAAAATGATCTATGAAGAGAAAAACTATTTGCCTTGAATAACTTACTAAGTAGTACAGTAAAAAAGGACAGTTCACTTCCAGTTGTTCCTCCAATGGTGGTGTTTGCCTTAATCCAAACTTTGTAATTGGTGATGGGTTGCAAAGACTTAAGTTTGTATTTCAGGATACTGCCATCCACAGTTTCTTCTATTAAGACATAAATGGAAGGTCAAGTAGTCATCTCACCCATCCCTTCAAGCCTCTTTCATTGTTTCATTCATTCCGAGTGTTTTTATGCTGTTTCAGGCTCTATATGATTTATAATAAAAGGAGGAGAAAGGCCCTCAGCAATTATGTGTAAAAAATCTTTCTATAGGTCATTTCCTTTCTCTGCCTTTCATTCTTCTTTGTTTTTAACCACCACTCTCTGAAACATTTCCGAAGTATAAAGCCAATCAACAGGGAGGCAGTGTGAGCCATAGCTTTTGGCTTCCCAGCTACTGAAAAGAGCAGCTCATGTATTTATTTAGAGAGCACAGATTAGAAAAGCATATTGTGAGCACTTAAGTGCTGTAAGTAATATCCTATTGAGTTTACACTGGAGCAGGATATTCACAACTGCTATCCCTTCAGCCATTCTTCCATGATATCTAATTGGAAGATGTTTGTGCGCGCACAGAAACACATTTTTTAAAAATGATTTTATTTACACCCTGCCTTTCTACTAAATTGAGCATGATCAATAGCACCCCTTCAGGATGGCTGTTAAGACTTCTTCAGAGCTATTTTATTTCCCAATAGATATTTGCAAAATAAGATAATTTCACAAAATCATCACTTAGAACTAGTCATTTAACTATTGCATCACTGGGACTCCTGTCCTAAAATATTTGGAATCTGACATTTATTTTGTTTGCCCTTCTTGCCCCTCCCCCCTGGCCAGGCATAGCAGATGTTGTCCTTGCAATTATCTTCATTGGAATATTGATGTCATGCCTATTAATTATTACATCCCTGGGGAGATGGATTCAGCCATTGTTAGGACTACAAAATCTGGATTAAAAAAAATCCGGTTAACCATTAGATCAGGGGTCCCCAACCCCTGGTCCATGGACCAGTACCGGGCCACGGCATGCCAGCAACCTGTCCGCACAAACAAGCAAAGCCCCATCCATAGGATGCAGGCAGCACACAGAACCACGCCCCCTCCAGTCTGCGGAAAAACCTCACTCTATGGAACCGGTTGGGGACCTCTGCATTTGATAGCAGCAAAGAGGTTCAGAAAATGAAATTCAATTGCCTACATGATTTGCTGATTTGCTAACTTCAAAGGTGGAAATGCTATTGGTTTGCTAATATTGTGTGCTTGAACAAAGTGACAATTGAGGCACTTTCACAAAGCACTGAGATACTCCAGCATTGATTCTGTATTTCTGCATCATGATCTGAATTTGACAGCTGAGCTTATCTTTTCTGATTTAACTATGATATAATTGTTTATAATGAAGCTCCCTTTCTACTCTGCTCAGGTCATTGCAATAGCATGCAACCATATTGCATCTATTATAAACACTGTGAGCCATCAAAAACCTTTCATTTTGAATGGACAAGGGTATCCTAGTCTAACCTAGTAGATTTAACTAATGACAGCCTCCTCCTATAATTATTTTTTACTGGGCACCCCTTGGGAAAAGCAGCTAAGCAATAGGGTAAAATAATGCCGCCACTATACATCATTATATAATGACATTATTATAAAGCCAGGCTCTGGGGAAATTCTCAGTCATCCAGGTCATGGCTGTCCCAAAAAACAGGGTCCAGTTGTCTTTTGAAAAAGCACTTTGGAGATATAAAGCTAGGTATTTTTCAGCAGAGCTACTCAGTTTGCTATTTAGAGTAAACTAGGACCATCCTTTAGAAACAACAAACACCTTTCCTACAAGCTTTAAAAAAGTTTAGGGAACCAAAGATAACAGGAAATATATTAAAGAAGTAAAAAACATAAGACCAAAAAGAATTGGAAGAAGCTAATGCCTTATGGTCAGTAGAGATGAGAAAGCAGAGTATATCTCTAGGACAGATTTAGGATTAAATAGTTGTACAAAGATAGTTAGATGAGACAGACACACAGACAGACAGACAGAGGCAAAGTCAGAGGTACTAAGAGAAATGATTTTAAAACAGTTAGCACCAAGTTTAAATAAAGGCTATCTCAGACTAAGAAAGCAGACCTCTGAAGTTAAAGCGTTGACAATGGCTGTTCTTTTGTTTCAGTTTGCATACATACCCAGTAGTTTGTTGTCTGTTTTATATATTATAGTATAGTTAATAATCACACCGTTCCTTTTTGATTTTGGAATTTCTTTCCATTTTATGGTGGCATAATCTTTACCAACATTTTCCAGTTCAGGGTCAGGACCACTAGATGGGACTAAATCATACAGAATAACTTTAACAGTTTCAAAATATCTTAGCAGTTAATTAGGAAATAGTTCTTCCAAAAAAAAATGCCCATGGCAAGCAACAGAGTTTTGATACTTTGGAAATGGCATGTACCACATATATACAGAACAACATAGGCCACTGGCCCAGAAAGATAATACTAATATATATAAAAAAGAGACTAAAATGGAAAATTTGGCAAAATTCTTGCCTTAAAGGTGGCTGATACTGAAATGTGACAGGTAAGTCTCATATCTGCTGGAGGTAACACTTTTGTTTGGATGCTATTGCCCATCAAAGCTCTTGCTCAGTGACCCTCCACTATTTTCAAAGAGGTAAGCAAGTTCAGACTTCCTTTGTATTTGTTAATCCCTTATTATAAATTGGGAAAAGACATTTCTGCGGAACAACATATCCATGCAAGCTTCTTAGCTAAAGCTGTTATGAATTCACTCCCTATCAGTCCAGAACCACTGTTTATACGTACCATTTTCATAGAAGTAGATACTGATGGAAGTTGGCTTTTTTATTTCATCTTTACACAAAGGGTATACTGAAAAATTATAGCATTTAAAATGTTTTAAGATTCCTGGAAGAAAACAAAAGTAATAGAATATTACCCTTCTTTTAAGGTTGCTAGCAAGAATCCTATTAATTGGTCCTTTCACACTACATTGCCAAGAAAGGCAGAAAAGTAAAACATGAAAATGAAGACTTCAAACTCTTGGTAGAGACTTTATCCTTGTACTGTACTTAATAAGTATTTCCAAATCCAGGAGGAATCCATGGGGGGGTGTCAAAATGGCAGCCGTGAACTGTGTAATTAAAGCCATAGTGTTTTTACATATGCTATAAAATGCGCCATAGCATATAAAAAGTGGAAGAGCTTCAATCATGCAGTTGCAACCACCATCGTAGATAATTCTGACCCCTCCTGCCCACCCTCGTTGCACTTTGTCTCTTTATTACATCTGCCACACAGATAAGTTAACATACCAATCTAGCATAAAAATGCTTTACAAATATTCATTTCCCTGCTGGACATGGTGGAACTAGAATATGCAGCGTGAATCAAGATGAACAAGCAGTTTCAAGAAGAATCTTCTAAACTAGATTGCTACATTTAATACTAACTTTATATTCTTACTAATTTTATTCATATGAGTATGCATTTATACCATGCATATTTTCCAAAATCTACCCTAGCACCAAGCAGCATGTAAGCAGAAATCTCATAAATGATGTATGGAAGGCTAAAATCTTTAAGCACAAAAAAGCCTTCCAAAGTAGTACCTGCAATTAAACCAAAAGCATTTAACATTGAGATAAAACCAGGTCAAAAGCTTCTATTATTAGTTTCTGAAGAATCAACAACAGCATGGGAAAATGCTTGCTCTATCTTTTCCCAGGAATTAATTAAGACCAATGATCACAGGGGAAAATGAATCCCAAGCCAAAGAGACTATCAACAGACTCAGAGAGTCTTTTTCTTTTTGATTGATTTTTAAGACACTCTTGGAACTCCAGAACTATCTTGGCAGAGGAGCAGAACATAATTACATGAAGCAAGACATTCAAAACAGCCATTTCTTTACGCCAAAAGTGTTGTGTGCCTACTGAATTGCATAGTTTAAGTAGCAATGGAGGACAATCTGGTCAATCTTCAGAATACAGTACTTCAGAATAACAGAGTTGGAAGGGAGCTTGGAAATCTTCTAATCCAACTCTCTGCTAAAGCATTCCTGACAAATGGCTGTCCAGTCTCTTCTTAAAAGCCTCCAGGGATTAGAGCATCCACAATCCCTGAAGGCAAGCCCTTCCACTGATTAATTGTTCTCACTGTTAGGAAATTTCTCCTTAGTTCTAGGGTGCTTCTCTCCTTGATTAGTTTCCATCCGTTGCTTCTTGACTTGCCTTCTGGTGCTTTGGAAAATAGGCTGACCCCTTTTTCTTTGTGGCAGCCTCTCAAATATTGGAACACTGCTATCATGTCCCCCCTCGTCCTTCTCTTCATTAGACTAGATATACCCAATTCCTGCAACTGTTCTTCATACATTTTAGCCTTCAGCCCTCTAATCATCTTTGTTGCTCTTTGTTGTTCTTTTCGAACAATCATTTGCTGTAATGGAATGTGAGAATGACCTTAGGAAATGGAGCAATGAGATGCCATCTAGGGAATTGTCAAATAAGAGGGAGCATAGCCCATTACTGCATAATGGGCACAGCAAGAGGATCAGGAGGGATTCTCCCTAAGTTATCAGGCTGTAAAGGTGACAGCGGGAAAACTATACTTTCAGACTTACAAAATTTAATGTAGGATTATAATAAGGTATAATTAGCTTATTTGTCCACTGGTTAAGAGAAAGGGGGAAGCAAAGGAAGATGTGGTTGCAATTGACAAGTTTATTAAGAAATTTAAGGAACAAAAGGCAAAGTATAAGGTAGAGGAAGGACATGGCGAAAGTAAGGATGGGTTGCAAATATAGACATGCATTCTGGTGTAAATTAGACTTAACTATATTTATTTTCATTTTTCTTATCTCATGCCTTTAACTTCTTCAACTTAATATTTCTTACTCCTTTGTGCTTGGCCTGAACTTGCTTGATCTTAAAAAAAGAAGTAGCACAGTGATACATGTGTACAATGCTAGTCCGGCTTCCGGCCTGGGCACAGCACGGAAACGGCATTGGTCGCGTTGGTTGATGATCTCTGGAGGGCTCGGGATAGAGGCTGTTCCTCTATCCTGGTCCTGTTAAACCTCTCAGCGGCTTTTGATACCATCGACCATGGTATCTTCTTGCACCGGTTAGGGGGGTTGGGGGGCACCGTTTTATGGTGGTTCTCCTCCTACCTCTCGGACAGGATGCAATTTGTGTTGGCAGGGGGGCAGAGGTCAACCTCGAGGCGCCTCACTTGTGGGGTACCACAGGGGTCGGTCCTCTCGCCTCTCCTGTTCAACATTTACATGAAGCCACTGGGTGAGATCATCCGTGGTTTCAGGGTGGAGTTTCATCAGTACGCAGATGACACCCAGCTGTACATCTCCACCCCGGACCACCCCAACGATGCCGCGGAAGTGATGTCCCGGTGCCTGGATGGGGAGGAACAGGCTTCATCTCAACCCGTCCAAGACCGAGTGGCTGTGGTTTCCGGCGTCATGTCATAGCCAGTTGGTTCCATCTCTGGCTATCGGGGGTGAGTCATTAGCCCCCGCGGAGAGGGCCCGCAACCTGGGCGTCCTCCTGGATGCTTGGCTGTCTTTAGACGATCATGTGACGGCCGTGGCCAGGGGGGCTTTTCATCAGGCTCGCCTGATACGCCAGTTGCGCCCCTTTCTGGATCGGGACGCCCTACGCAC